ATGTAATCAAAACCGGTCAATAAATTAAAGTCAATAAATTAAAAAAAATTTTTTTTTCAAAATAAAAATTTTCTTAAAAAATAATAAACAACAAAAAAAATAATTAGAGAGAAAAAACCACAACAATGACTAATAAAAAATAAATTTATAAACTTGTTTGTACCTTCTATGTACATATTTTATCCAATTCTCTAATTCGGGGTACAGCCCAAGTAGGCGCGCGGCCAAGTAGGCGCAAAGCCATAACTTGCTTCAAGATTTTCGACTTATTAGATTTAGCATTAAACGATTCCTCTCATCGAGCTAAAGAGATTGATACCAAAATTGTTAAGTTCCAGAAATTTTCCAGGTAGTTATGGCTTTGCGCCTACCTGGCCGCGCGCCTACTAGGGCGTGTCCCCTATAATTCGTACGACGTTTGAGTCCCGGCTTCGAGCCTCTATTTTGGGCCAAAAATAATTTATTTTTTAATTAATTAAAATAAATTATCATACCAAAAAAGCTCTGGATGTGAGGATTATTTTACTTAACAAAATTGATTTAGATAAAACTATAATCGGGTAAATGCGCACAAGTAATTTCTATACTCTGCTGACATTTTTTCCACAATTTATTTAATTTAAACAGAATGCCATAAAAACGAAAATTCAAAAATTAAACGAATACCGTATTTTCTTGATTTATTCCTCTCCCTCGATTAATTCCCCCTCTCGATTAATGCCAGGGAATTAATCGAGAAAAACATCAAAACAACCCTCCAAAGGGGCATTCAATTAAAAAGGGGCATTGCATTTTTTTAATGAGTCGAGGGGAAATTGAAAGAAATTAAAGCCTTTCTTTCCCCGGAGCCGGCAAAAGCTATTTCCAGGATTATTTATAAAAAAACACCTAGAATTAAATTTTGGCTTTTTTTGTGTTTGAAAATTTTAAAATTGTAGTCAAAACCAAAATCAAGACTGAGCAAGAATAAATTTTGTGAATTGATTTTGTGTGTAATTTACTTGAAAAATTAATCTACCGTATTTCCTGAAATAGTACTCCCCCCTAAATTAGCACTCCCCCCTTAAATAGTACTCCCCTTTGGAGGAGGGTTGAAAAATAGTACTCCCCCCTGAATTAGTACTCCCCCTAAAATAGTACTCCCCCCAAAAATATTTTTCCTCTATACATATTTAAAAAAATAATACGAGACATTGAATTATTTTATTTATTCTAAGTATCGTTGTCGGTTTCACTTGATTCTTTGATAAACAAAACCTGAGAGCTTTCGGTTAACCGAAAACGAATCGAAATTTTAAACTAAAATTTTTCGAGGATTAAAGAGATATAATCCGATTAATTGGTGGAGTAAAAGTGGATTTTGGGTATATAAAGGGATTGATATCGGGTGTAAAATGGGTTCTGTATTAATCAAGTGGCATTTAAAAGACATCATTGGATTAAGGTTTGATATAGGAATTTGAGGGAATAATGAAGGGGGAGTAATATTAGGCGATTTTGGTTGATTAAGAGCGATTAAGCGATAAGTTGAATCATAAATCCTTCTTAATCAACTAATATCGGAAGTACAAAAGGGATGTGGAGGATATCGGTGTTTAATATGATAAATAACTAGACAGAGATTAGGTAATCCCTAGACACATGGGTTTAGTTGACCCTGATAAATCTTAGACCCGAAAATCCCCTTATATCCCTCGATATCACTCCAAATTCACTTATATCCTTTTTGATTTCCCTCAATAACCCGTATTTTAAGTCACTTGTGTTTAATTGTCTCGCAATTTGCTCAATTTTATACTAATTCGGATATTTTCTACAACTTTTATTAAAGAAATTTTTTGAAAATCAGGGTCCGGATCCGGCATTTTTCAAATAGCGAACTCTAATCGAATTTATTTTGAGATAAATTGAAATAAATTAAAATATTTTTTTTAATTTTGAAATAAATTTTCCTATGAAAAATCATGGAGGATGGTTGAAAAATAATACTCCCCCCTGAATTAGCACTCCCCCCTTAAATAGTACTCCCCTTTGGAGGAGGGTTGAAAAATAGTACTCCCGGGAGTACTATTTTAGGAAATACGGTATTTATTTACTTTGAAATTAACCTTTATGTATTTTATGCTTTTGTTTTATTCAGCAAAAGAAAAAAGTTTAAAGAAAAGAATTTAACAGCCAAATATAGGAAAAGAAAATTAAAAACGTTTCCCGTTTTGTAAAATACTTTAACACATCCTCAATTCATAAACTTCCTTTTTTCCATTTCATTACATACATTTCTCATTACCCCTCCCAACTTCAGTCTTACAAGTTGTACCTGGACAGCATTGATCACGAAGGTTTGGAAGACAATATTGACCTTTAGCAATACAACAATTTCCTTTAGTACAACTTCCACCAAGACAACAATTGCCCTGTCCTTTTCCACTACATTTCCCACCGAAGCCAACACAGCCACCATTGTTTACTTGGAATAACACAAAAATTGAAAGAAAAAATAAATAAATTTTGGTTGAAGAAGAAAACATTTTTATTTAAATTTTTCAATTTAAAAAATTCTAAAAATTATTTCCTTTTTAGAATTATATATATTGTAAAGCATATAGCTATTCATTTCCTAAGGCTATGCATCTGGTCTACTGAAATCCGGTTTACATCAGTCCGGTCCCCACCCGCCGAATAACCTTTTGTACTAGCTGAAGAAGAGAAATAACTACAGGGGTGGACATTTACTTAGGGATCTTCGTCCATTATCGCCATATCGCTAGGAAAGATCCCAGGATTTTTTAGATTTATCCTATACTGGGTGTCCATAAATATTGGGTGTCCAGCAGGGCTGGGCGAAATCAAAAAATAAAAACGAAATGCGGAATGCGAAACTTTTCGCGCCAAAAAATGTGAAAAATGCGAAAGATGCGAAACGCGAAAATGCGAAATCGCCCAGCCCTCGTGTCCAGCTCTGCTTTACTGGATTATGCCAGTCTATTAAAGCATACTTTATTTAGTAAATTTAAAATAACGAATATTTATTGTTTAAGTGGTTTATTACTTAACTCAAAATAACTGTATTTATATTCCTCCAATTTATAAAAACAAATTCTTCTTTAATAATTACCAAATAAACATCAAACTTTTAATCTTATGATTTTCCCAATATTTAATATTTAAACACCTTGTATTATTTTTGGATGTTTACGCCAAAATCACCTTAGAAATTTGTTTTCAATTTCTTTACTAGAGTTGGGCAAAATAAAATAATAAACCTTCTTCTGATTCTACGTAAATGGCAAGTTGCCAAAACCTCTAAAATTTAATTTTTGCTAAAAATGGTTATTTTTTGTTTATTCATATTAAAAAATTCTTCCTGCTTTGTATTCTAATAGAGAGTTGATCAAAACGATACTGGTATTAGCCAACCCGAGATCGAGATCTACCGATACTCAAGAACCCAATACCGAGACCGATACCATCATTTTGAGCCGAGACCGGTACCGAGAAACGATACTGACCGAGACTAACAGAAATTTTTATTTTATGTCAAAAAAATACGTTTATATCCGTACAACTTTTGAGGCATATCCATCCGCGGGCATTCGCGGATGGCCGAGGTGAAAATTTCGGTTAACCAAACCATTGGTTTCAGCGCCACAGGCAAAAATTTTGAAAATTTTTAGAAGGGCATGAAGCCAAATTTATTCCAATTTTTGCCCTCAGATCGCAATATTGAGGATTTTGTTTCTTTGAGTCAGTATCGTGTTCGAGACCGAGAATGAAAAAACCGAGACCGATATTGGAAAAAAGCCGAGAATCTCGTTATCGGTCTCGTCTTGATCAACTCTACTATATTCTAATAATTTTTATTTTGTGTTTTTATTTTTATTTTCAAACAAAACTTTTTTTGGTTACATTTCAGATAGAACACAATTAAGATAGAAAGATTTAATAGCGTACCATTATATGTAGTCGAATCTTTATTAAATATTTATTATATATTTTTATTATATATATAATCTTTATTATACATATGCCGTATTTTATATGCCGTATTTGCCGTAAATTATATGCCGTATTTCTTTGATAATTACCCATGGCAATTTTATTTTTTGACCCGGAGCAGTTCATTTCAGTCCTGCAGTTTAGTCCCGAGCATATAACACATGAAGGAATGGCCAATTCTTCATGCTCTTGTGTAAAGCATATAGCTATTTAATTCCTAATGTTTAAACACATCAGTCCGGTCTACTAAAGATGCCAGCTGCTTTACTCACAACAAAAAAGTTAGAATTTTCAACTAACTGATAAAAAAGTTCTAATCTAGAAACCAATTTTTTTTATTTTATCAAATTTTGCATTCGAATGATCTATGATTTCGAATGATATATGATAAATTATATATGAAACAAAAAAAGTTCAAAATGGTCAGGGAAACGGTGAAAAAAGGGGGCGAATTCCAAACTATTACCAAATTTTTTAATAAATTTCCATCCAAACTTTGCATACTAGCTTTATTTCAATTTTCTGTTTTTATTAATATACCGAAAGAAATCAAAATAACCCTTCAAAGGGGCATTCAAATGGAAAGGGGCATTGCATTTTTAAAAAAGGGGGAAATTGAGGGGAAATTGCAAGAAATTTTGAATAAAGCTTTTCTTTCTTCGGAGCCGGCAAAAGCTGTTTCCCTGATTATTTATTAAAAAACAGCTAGAAGTAAATTTTGGCTTCTTTAGTGTCTGAAAATTTTAAAAGTGCAATCAAAACCAAAATCAAGACTGATCAGGAATGAATTTTGTAAATTGTACTTTTATCTGGAAAATTAATCTATTTATTTACTTTGAAATTAACCTTTATGTATTTTATGCTTTTGTTTTATTCAGCAAAAGAAAAGTTTTTAAAGAAAAGAATTTAACAGCCAAATATAAGAAAGGAAAATTAAAAACGTTTCCCGTTTTGTAAAATACTTTAACATCGTCAATTCATAAACATCCTTTTTTTCCATTCCATTACATGCATTTCTCATTACCCCTCCCAACCTCAGTCTTACAAGTTGTACCTGGACAGCATTGATCATAATGGCCTGGAAGACAATATTGACCTTTAGCAATACAACAATTTCCTTTAGTACAACTTCCACCAGTACAACACTTTCCACTTTTGCCTCCACATTTGCCACCTATGTCAACACAACCACCATTGTTTAATTGGAATAATACAAAAATTGAAAGAAAAAATAAACAAATTTTGGTTGAAGATGAAAACATTTTTTCTTAAAAATTCTTAAATTATTTAATTTTATAATTAATACATGTGTATTTTTAGGGTACCGCAGACAAACCGCAGAGATATAACTTCGTTGAAAATGGTCGAATCCGGGACGCCCTGATATGGTACAATTCAGCTCGTCATGATGCATCGAACCATACCACTGCGTCCCGGATTCGACTATTTTGAACAAAGTTAAAGCTCTTGTTGTGTCTCTGCACAACAAGAAATACACAATACAATAATGTGTTTATCACACAATAGAAATAACAATAGTATTGAAGCAATAGAATAAGGTTGGGATAATATTGGAGACAATTAGGAGACACGGACTGACAATTGTGTGAGGCTTTTATAGTAGCCACCACACCACAACACCTCCCCCTTTGCAAGGCTGGGGTTACAACTAGAGCCCGGACCGTACCGTACTACGGCCGTATTTTTCGGTATTTATCGGTATTCCGTATCGGTAGTACGGCACGGAATACGGTACGGTAAAATTTTGAAGTTTATCGGTATTTATCGGTATCGGTATTTTTCGGTATTCCGTATCGGTAATACGGTACGGAAAAACTAAAATACCGATGATACCGACCGATGAAATTTTTCAAAATTTTATTATATTTTAAGTGAAAAAAGCTTCTTGGGCATTGAAAATTTCACAAAATTTTTGCCTGCGGCGCTATAATAGGATGAAATTCAACTTCTTGGACTTCCAAATTCTCATGATTTGGAATTCAAAATTTCAAATTCAGAAAAAGTAAGAAATATATCTTCTTGGTTTTTGAAAATTTCACAAGATTTCCGCCAAGCGGTGCTGAAAGTGTTGAGATCCGATGGACTGATATAGAGAGATTAGGAATAATTGAGGTGGATTTAGGGGAGTAAGAGATATATCGAGAGGGTCTGTGATGATTAAGTGGATTCGTGTGGATTAAGTGGATTTAATGGAGCTTACGTTCAAGTCTAGGGATTAAGAGATATCAGGCAAATCCTAAATATACGACTTTATCAAATTTATATTTAAAAATAATTATTTTTTAATAAATTAAATTTTTAAAAATACGGTACGGAATACCGATAAATTTTTATCGGTATTTATCGGTATCGGTATTTTTCGGTATTCCGTATCGGTAATACGGTACGGAAGAATTTTGAATTTTATCGGTATTTATCGGTATCGGTATTATACGGTAGTACGGCACGGAATACGGTACGGTACGAAATTCCGGGCTCTAGTTACAACACCGCAATACAAAACATACAAACAATAACAAAAGTCCGGTCAACAAATACATACAAAAAAATTTGAGGGAATAAGGGAACAAACAAAATTTTACAAATCAAAAGAACATTTTATATATCTTATTTATCGTCGATCCTTCAGAGATATTTGAACCCTCAGAATTTATCAAACCCTCAGAACAGCTCTGCATCCTATCTTCAGATCCCTCAGAATTTAATGATCCCTCAGAACAGCTTTCCATCTTATCTTCAGACTTTTCGGACCAGATCTTTGTTTTCTTCTTCGGTGTTGCGCCTTCATTGTACAGCCTCGCATTGGAGCGTTTGACAGCATAGCCATTCTTTGATTCAATTCTTGGTTGTTGGTAATCTTCTTTAATGTCTTCAATCTTCCGCAAGATTACACTCTTCAGGCAATGAACTTGAACTCTAAACAATTGACCAACTTTTCCTACAATTTCGCCTTTTAGCCATTCAATTTTGTTGGTTCTTTTGTTTTTGTTCTTCACAATTACATTTTTGCCTTTCCAGAGTTTTTTCTTTACAATTGGTTTTGACATTGGCTTTTGTTTGTTCCATACAATTTTCTTCCTTTCCTTTTCAATTTCTGGAACATTAACAATATTTTTCAATAAATTCAATCTTTTAAGCCAAGGTAATCCAATTAAATTCAATTTGCCTTCCACAACATGGCAATCTAATTCTTCTTCCTTATTATTACAATCAATGTGTGCTGCAAATTTCCCTTCAATTTTAAATTTTGATTGGCCCATAGCAATTCCATTATAGGAAACTTCTTCCAATTTTGGTTCACCAATCTGTGACCACGTTTCCTTTGAAATAATTGAGATTTGCGCAGCCGTATCAATGATCATGTTCAATGAATTTCCATTTATTTTCAATTTTTGAACAATCCAATTTTGTTTTTGCAGCACTTCATTGTCTTCAATATCCAACAATATACAATAAGGACCATCATTGCTCTTATCTAAACCAATTTTTACATTATTCACTCTAGGTGACAATTTACGCTTACCAGCAAAATAACAATAAGAAGTCCAATGTCCTTCTTTTTTACAATAATTACAATATGGCCTTTTTGGTGGATAATAGCGATTCTTGTTCTCAATTTCAATATTTGGTTTTTGTTGTAATTGAGGTTCCTGAATAATATTTATTTCTGGTGGTGAACCCAATTCAATTTTACTGACCTGTTTAGGTTCAGATAACAATTTGACTTCTTTTTTTGTAGACAAGAATCCTCGACAATCTTCCAATAATTCCTTGAAATTACAATCTTCTTTTTTCTTTGATTTATTTTCTATCAGCCGAATACAATTTTGTTTTAAATCAATTGCAGAGTCAGGAAGCCCTACAATAAAAATCAATATTTTCATTTCTTCAATAGTCAAATTCATTTCTGACTTTTCGCATTCGGCATTTACGAGATTCCCAAATTGCAATATATTTTCAAATTCATTACATTTCAATTTCAGCGTATCGAAACGCTTTAGCAATTTGGACCTCGGGTCCCTAAACTCCTCTTTCAATTCATTTAACAATTCCCCATATTTCAGGTCTGATAATTTTCGTGGCAATAATTTCTGGGCAATTTTAGAATATTCAGGGCCACCCAATTTCGCAATAAGCAATCTTGCTTTCATTTCATCACTCAATGTGGCCCCCTCAATTTCAAAGTACGATTTGTACTTATCATACCACGTTTCAAACGTGAATGCCCGTGGAATATCACAATGGAACTCAGAAATCAATTTGTGCAATTTACCGTATAGCGCTGATCCTTCTTGTTGAAGCGATGTAGCACTTTCAATATTTGGCCTATTGCCCAATTTACTCAACAATTCTGCAATCTGTTTCTGCTGCAGTAACAATTGTTGGTTTTGGTGTTCCTGAAGTTCCTTTTGCTGTTGATTGAATTTCATTTGTTGTTGTTCAAGGAGTTTTTGAATGTCTTCCGCTTTCATTCTGAAGAATCAATACAATATTTTTTCAATGAACAATAACAATGCCACTAACCTGATTTGTTTTCTTCAATACAATTTACAATTGAATCCGTTTACGACCGCGCCAAATTTGTTGTGTCTCTGCACAACAAGAAATACACAATACAATAATGTGTTTATCACACAATAGAAATAACAATAGTATTGAAGCAATAGAATAAGGTTGGGATAATATTGGAGACAATTAGGAGACACGGACTGACAATTGTGTGAGGCTTTTATAGTAGCCACCACACCACAACAGCTCTGCGGTATTTTTGGGCTCGCGGTGCGTTGGCCTGCTCTTTATATTTTTAATATTAATTTATTTAAATTTTTAAATTAAAAAAGCACCCAATATAAAAATTAATAAAAACTGATCTAAAATCTATGGTGGATATAATTTAGGATTAATATTTTGTTTTAAAATAAAATTTTATTTAATTAAAATGATTTATTACCTACCTCAACACAACTGTATTTATGTTCTCCAATCTCCAATTTTACTTAAAAAATTCCCAAACAAACATAAAACACAAGTTTTATCTATTATATTTAATCAACTGGGTATTTTGAAGGTAAAAGTTAAGCTTAAAGGGTTTATTTTCTATTTTTGTTTTTAAATAAGAATTTTAGCTACTCTCTAAAAATTTTATTTTTGTTTATATTCATATAAAAATACCAAATTTGGATTTTTTATAAAAATATTTTTTTATTCTATTTTATGCTTTGCCTCTTTTATTTTCTATTTTTGTAAATAAATGGCAAGTTTTGCTAAAATTTAAATTTTATTTTTTTCTAAACTTTATTATTTTATGTTTATTCATACCAAAAGAGCTTGGTTCAGAAAAGCTTATGACTTATTAAATTAATGAAAATGATTTTGTTGTTCTAAAAAACCTTTCAAAATTACCAAAGTTTTCTCATGAGGCGTAAGAAAGGAAAAATAAAATCACCATAGAATCACAAAATTTCTACGCGATGAGACGCTAACCCCTAAATATATTCCCGGTAGGTTCTTAGAGGCAAAAATTCCGTTTTTCTGGAATTGAAAGATCTGAACCTCGGTCTTGGTGTTTAGTCTGGGTCTTGATTTTTTGTGCAGTATGCGGCGTGGTGTAATGGATAACACATCAGTCCGGTCTACTTAAGATGCTGGTTCTCTCTCAGTCACCGAATAACCTTTTGCACTAGCTAAAGGAGACTAATATAGCCTAGCTGCTTTACTATACTTAATTCTCATTAAAATATACAGGGTGCGGCAAATTCGCGCCACTTTTTCTTTTTGCCATAACTTTCTTCAAAATTAATGAAAATTGATAATTCTTTTTTTGTTTTATTCCCAACACTTTAGGAAACCTGCTGATACAAAATTTGCTTTTCAATTTTAAGTTTACTCTGAGTAAACTTCCCTCAAAGTTTGAGCAGAATTTTTTGGATAAAAATTGGCATAGATTCAAGGCTGAGATTTTAATATTGGAAAAACTTATATCATTCGAATCAGCTCTTCATTCTGATTCGGATGACATAAAAATCAGGGGGCTACGACAAAAATCGAATGAGATACGGTCCTCTGAATGATAAATTAAAATAATTTTGATAAAAATAAAATTTTTGTGTAAAATTTTCAAAAATGAGATTATAAGATATTTCGATACTCCTGAACGAGATGAGTCGTTTAGTACCAAAATCATTGGTATTGAACGATTTTGAACGAAGTTATGATCAATTAAACTTTGGCATAAAAAATGTTTTTAAATTTTCTAGACGTTCGAACTCGATTATCTTTGCCAACATTGAACCAAATTTTTAATATTTGGTATCAGCAAGTTTCCTAAAGTGTTGGGAATAAAACAAAAAAAGAATAATCAATTTTCATTAATTTTGAAGAAAGTTATGACAAAAAGAAAAAGTGGCGCGAATTTGCCGCACCCTGTACAAAATATACATTTAATGAGTTAATGTATATAATTAAAACATACATACAATTAAATACACATTCATATATAAGTTAAAAGTTTTTTAATTAAAAATTTATTACATAAATTTTTAAAAATTTCAAATTATTAGATTAATTCTTTAACAAATTTCCTTCACAAAATTTATTCTACATCTTTATTTCAATTTCTGTTTTAATTAAATTTACTGGAAATCCATTTTAACAACATTTAACTAAATTACAGAGTAGTTTACATATTTTTTAAATTAGTAATATTTAATTGAATGACTAATTAATAATTAATAAAATAAATAAAAAATAGTATGTAGATACATATTATATATATATTTTTATTTTTTATTTAAAAAATATTTAAGTATGTCGTGTCACAGATTAAATTAATTTATTAATTACAGATTATTGGATTTAAAATATAATTATAAAATTTATTTCTAACAATTTTTTTTTTCAGTTAGTTAATTAAAAATTAAAAATTATTAAAAATGTTTTATTTAAAATTTTTTATTTTTCTGGGGATTTTTGTTTTGTTTGGGAAGGGAGAGGAATGTATGTAGTTGTTAATTTAAATTTTAAATTGAAGTTTTAAATTCTTAATTAGTTAATTTAATAAAATCTGTGCTTTATTTATTAAATATAAATGAAAAAAATTATTTTATTCTTAAAAATTTAAGCTTGAGAAAAAGGGGAGAGAAACAGGCAATTAATCGAGAAATTATTAAGCAGGGATCGTCCCGATTCCCAAAATCAAGAATTTATTTTTTTATGTCGGCAAATCCCTGCTATATTTGAGAAACTTTAAATTATTCTCAAGTTTATAAAGCTAGAAAACAAATAATTTTAACTTTTAGAGGGAATACAAAAAAATTTTTTTATGAAAGGATACCAAATGATTAAGGACTTTAAATTATACTGAGGTGGGTCGGAACAATCAAAAGTGTAGGAAATCGGAACTGGCTCAAAAGTCGGAAATCGGAATTCAAAATTTTTTTCGGAAATCTGAATTAAAAAGCCGGAAATCGTAATTCCGACCCACCTCTGATGCTGACTAACTAATTAAAAAATTTTTTTTAACAATTTTAAAAATAATTTTAAAAATAAATTTTAAAATTTAAATCTTTACCCAAAATTTATAGCAATATATGGAGTATCACCAGTAACCGGAATTGATTTTAGCCCCTCATGGCTTAACTTATCAAAACCGATGAGAAAAGGAGCTCATGCCTATTATGGAAAGGATGGACGTTGTGGAGTGAGAAAAATTAAAAAAATTTTAATTAAGAAAAATTTTTTAAAAGTGGTTTAACACAACTACAGGAAAATATGAACAGCCAAAATTAAAATATCCAAATGCTTTTAAACCAGCCGATGAAGATAATAATGAATATAAAATGGAGGCAGAACGTTTTTGCCTGTTCCAATTCCATCAAGTTGCTATGGTTGAAAAAAAACTTCTGTTAAATTTTTAAATTTAAATTTTATTTAAAGCAGCCCCTCTGTGGAGATGAATGGTATTCACAAATTAAATATTGTGCTATGGTAATTTAATGAATTTAAAATTTTATTTCTTAAAATAATTTTTAGGTAGACTTTTACAAAAACCAACAGCCTTATCCAGTCAAAATTGGAGATCCCCCGTCTGGTAATACATATATTAAAAACACTTTTTAATTTAATGAATTTAAAAATATTTCTGAAAATTTGAAAATACTTGAGACAGACTGAAAAAAGCACAGAAAAATTTTGGAAAAAGAATCTCGAATTATTTTATTCGATACTTTTTAAGGATTTTGGGTGCCTTCACGCTCTTTTAATTTTTTGGCACTTGTTGTCTTTACATTCCATAAGCCCCGCCCCTTTTCTCTCATCTTTCGCTCGTCCGCATATAAAATGACCATTTGGGTCAATATTTTCATAGATATTTTTATATAAAGAAAAGAGGACAGAGGGGCAGGGCTTATGGGGTGTAAACTACACAATGGTGTGTAGTTGACAGATTTTTTATTCGAAATGTTGATTATTGATAAAAACCAGAATTTCTAATTAATTAATAAAAAATTAAAAATTTCCCAAAAATTATTCAAAATCCTTAAATTTATAGATGTTGTTTTATTAATGATTGATGGCTGTATTATGTGTACTTCTGATAGCCATCCCGCTAATGATAGTGAAATAACAATTCAACTTAAACATGCTTGGAAACAAGGATCAAAATTTACAAGTTGCGCTGAAACTAAAAATGTTGCTGGGTTAGTTTAGAAAAATATTTTTGGTTTAGAAGGCAAAGTAGTATGAGTTTAAGAAGAATTTCTATGTGTTTTCCCATTGTGTAGAAAGAATCCTGCCACAAAGCAGGATTCTGCGACCTCTTGACAGTTATTGCTAGGGGCTTTCGCTCACCATATACAGGAGCTCCACCTCTGAGCTACCGGGGCGATGACTACTGCTTTCTCTTTTATCCTTTTAGATCGTTTAACTCCCGTCTAAGCGTTTTAAATGCTCTAGTTGAATCAACCTTACAATGTTTTCCTTACAAAGACATGTACATAATTATTTAAAACTATATCTTTTTTCAGAGAACTTACCTTAAATTTAACCCAACAAACATTCTATGACGTTCTAGTTTCAACTCAAGATCCCACAAGCTCGCTAATTGAAGATGTTGGAAATGCTATTAAATACCAAGCATATTTAAATGCATATTCCTCCTCCTTCTCAATTGCGGCTGTTTTGTACCACAGAGTTTGTAAAGGAATATTAACGTAAATTTTAAATTTTAATATTAAAAATAAAATATTAAGTCTGTGTGCAAATTAATTTTTAAAAGAAAAGGGGTGGGGCTATTCAAAAGGGTTTTTTGATTCTTTGACACCCGTCACGTCACTCCGAATTAATTGAGAATTATAGAAAATCGTCAAAAAATTAAAAATTGTCAATTTTCTTTAAACATTTTTCCCTCAAAATTTCCATTATTTTTCTCCTAACAAAAATTTAAAAAATATTTTTAAATAAATTTTTAGATTTATTAATATTAAATTTTAGACGCGACCCCGAAGAAGATTATTTTAGAGACATTGAACTTGAAGTGACACACAAGTTCGATTGTCTTTTTTTAATTAATTTTATTTCTATTTTTTTTTAAATTGAAGTTGTGGAGTTAACAAAAAACTTTCCATCCCTTTGAAAGACATTGTGCCAAGCAAGTTCAAGGCAAACAAATTTTTATAAAATATTATTAATTTATTAAATTGATGTTATACAAATATAATTATTTCCTCTAATTATTTTGACATCCGTCAAAAAATTAGAGATAGAGAGAGGGGGAGGGGGGTTACAAAAATTGAATTGTGATTTTAAATTTAAAATTATCATAACTCCAAAAATCAAATAAATTTAAGAACAATATGGCTGAATTGCGTGGTTTGATGTTGCTTTTGAGTAATTCTGAATGGTCCTTTTAATTTACAAAAATATTTTAAAAATAAATTTTAATTAAAATTAAATTTTCTCTATAATATAACAACATAAAAATAACTTTAGTTAACATGATTTAAAAAAAATTCCAAAATATTTTTTTAATTCTCAAAACTTTAAAGGATGCAATACCGTATTGACGGTTTCAAATTTGAGACTCCAGAAGGATTACCCCATGGAAAGCCCGTTTATGACAATGTCGTCAAGAATGCTGATGATTGAAAGGAAAAATAAATTCTTTTTATTTAAATATTTTTTTTAAATTTTCTGGGTCTTTAAATTTTATTTAAATAATTTAAAAATAAATATAAATAATTTATAACAAATACAAATCCATGTAGCCCTTATTTAGTAACTCTAAATAAAGTCTATATAAAAAGCTTAAAATTTTAAAAATATTTTATCAATCTTCAACAAATCCTCCTATTACGACAAAAAAACTTTTCTTCTTCTCAATGCTTCGTGTTCGTCTTACCACCCTTCTAGTTATTCTCCTGGCTATCGGGATTTATCTCAGCTGTGTTATGTCAGAAGAAGTTACTTATGTTGGGTATGGTCGTCACACTATGGTCAACAATATAATTACTCGAATTGGCACAGCAAGTCGTATTGCAAAAACCAACGAGGACCTAGAAGACTACAAAGGGACGGAGAATGCTTGTAATGTAAAGTTTGATGAAAACGGGGATATGTAAGTTTAAGGAATTGTTAAAAGTTTCAGTTAATACATTAATTAAGCATTCTGAATTACAACTCCGTTCGTGAAACTGGATGTGCTATTGATATTGGACACAAATTTCTCAATTTTATGTTCGAATTCAAAGCAACTTTAAGTAACGACAACAAAGAGATTAAAGAATGTCTTCAGGCAATGCCCGATGGATTTAATGCCAATATGTAAGAGAAAACTGTTCTTTTAATGACTATTCTTCCAAATTTAAGGGTTCCTTTTGCATACAGCATTGGTTTTGACCGTTTTGAAAAGATAAAAGAAGGACCCTACGAGGAGGGTATTTCTTGCGATAAGAAGGACGAGTGCATTAAAAGTGGCGGAGAATGCTTGAAACCTGGTGCATTAGAGTTTGGTTGGGCATATAATGGAGATAAAGTTCATGTTGGCATGCAACCAAGTAAGGAGATGAATTTTTCTCTTCAAAACTTAAATTTATTTATTTACAGTTGGTGAGCCAGTAGTGTGTGAACATCCTCTCGGTGAAAATCTAGTGGACAATTTAAAGGCTGAAATTAATGTTCATGTTGATGATGGCATTTATTGGTTCAAAACAGAGAATTTTGAAACGGGTTTTTATTTAACCAACTCGGGATGCCATTCTTTCGTATGTATAAATCGATATGGTATAATCGTAGTACAAAAAGGACTAATTAAACCAATAACTTGGGAGATTAGAGATCAAAGTCTTCAATTCGATTCTCGATACAGACAATTGCTAGCTTTCTACCTTCTCCCGCAAAAGGCTTCTTTCCAGCGTGAAGGGAACAATATTAAAAGGAATTCTCCTTTAAATGGACCTAATTGCAAAATTGAAATTAAATTTGTGAGTTTAACCAAAATTATTTTAAAATTCAAAATTTATTCATTTCCAAAGCGGTAAAGACTACAGGATTTTAATAAACGAGAAAGAGATACAGTGTGTCCGGAAATGATATAACCACTTGATTTTTTGTTATATCTTTTCTTGAACATAATATTTTCACTTCCTTTCTTTTTTATATTGATTATATACGTATTCTGGATATCTATGCAAAATTTTATCTAAATATCCCCATCCACCCCTAAGTAAATTAAATTTATTTAAAAGTGGTCGTTTTTCAACCGTCCGGAAATGATATAACCACCTAGTATAATTCTGTTTTGGATTGTAGAAAAAGTCCACAAAAATTCCAGTGATTATAACTATTGATATCAATATGAAATACAAAAGAAACGAAGTTCTACTATACTTCCATCATCGAGATCTCAAAATCCGAAAATCAACGGAAAACCGGGGTAAATGTCTTTAAAGAATATTTTCGTCCCCTTATAGGATGTATTAAATTTTTATTTTATACAATTCTGAAAGCTCTTTAAATTTGCTATAAAACCGTAAATTTTTATTTTCCAGAAAATTTTTTTCATTGAGTTATACAGTCTAGAAATACTAATGCTGTAAAAAAGGCTTTTATATGTATAAATTTAATGCTTTTTGAATTTAACACTGATTTACTCCTATGTAAAAAATTTTTATATAGTAACTTTTAGGTATTCTTATAGCAAATTAAAAGGGCTTTCAGAATAGTATAAAATGAAAATTTAATAAGGCCTATAGTGGTTGAAAATATTTTTTAAAAACATCTACCCCGGTTTTCCATTGATTTTCGGATTTCGAGATCTCGATGTTGGATGCATATTAGAACTTCATTTCTTTTTTATTTCTCGTGTATATTGATAGATATGTTTAGAAAAATTTTTGTGGATTTTTTCCATAAACCGGAACAAAAGTATCCGAGGTGGTTATATCATTTCCGGACACTCAATTTTAAGATAAATTGATATAACTTTTGATTATCCTAATGATATCATCTCAAATTTTGCATATGCACTATAAATGATATTCAAAATATTGTGTCAAAATTTCAGGAAAACAGAACAAACAGAAACCGATTTACACCTAAAAAGTTGGGTGGTTATATCATTTCCGGACACACTGTAACAGCCGAGGAAATTGCCATGCATTCACGAAATGCAGAAATCCGTAAATCCGTTACTATTACCTTCATTGCTGTGAATATTATTTTGTAAGAATTTTCGAGTTAATTAAATTAATTAAATATATTCAAAGGCTTGTTAGCGTTGTTGGTGTTCTCTGTTGGTATTGTTTTTGTAGGAAAGAAGAGAATAATGAAGTGAAGAAATAATTGAGAATAAAGGATGGAAATATAAAAATTAGAATTATTTTTGATTATAAATATTGTGTAGTATATTATTGTAAATTCTTTAATAGAACCACACTAATATAAGCACACTCCCTCCAAAATGACGTGAAAAACACAAAAAGGAATTCCCTTCTAGATGGACCTTAAATTTGTGAGATTAACTTTATCTTCAAATGAGGACTGATTAATAAAAGTACATAACGTTCTATTATTTAGAGGATTTAGGGTATTTTATTATTTTCCATATAAAAATTGTTTCTTGTTATTCATAATTTTGTTAAATATTTCTTGTTATCATAGAATAAATACTACATATATAATTTTCATTGACAATTCATAAAATTGAGAAAATATTTTTTTAAAATAAGTATATTTTAAATTTATTGAAAATATTATATTTAGAATTGATGAAAAATTAAATAATAAAATTAAATAATGTCATTTATTATCGTTCAACTGCTGTTCAATATCAGCCACCATTTCATCATAATCTTCATTTAACTAAAAAATAAGGAAAATATTTTTAAATTTTAAACTATTAAAAAATTTCCTAGACAATTACCAAGTAACCTCGATTTTGATATTTTATGTCTTATTTATTTTCCGACTTTATTCTCTACTTTTTTCTAACCTGATTTAATTTTATAATTATTGCAACTCCACCTTATAATTAAAAATTATTTTTTAATATTCAAATAGCCCACATCATTTGTATCAGAATCTCCAAATTGCCTCACATCACTTTCACCATAAGATGCCTCCTTTTCAAATTGTCCCTCCACCTCTTCATCATCCTGAGATGTCCCCTCTTTTCCATATTGCTTCACTTCACTTCCCCCATCAGATGATGATTCCTTCTCCTCCAAATGTTCATTTTCATAATCAATGTAATCCTGCTCATCTTCTTCCTCATCATTTAACGGAATTTCACTTTCATCAAGACATTTACTATATTCTTGTGGATCTTCTTCTTCATTTAAATTTGGAAGTATATCATCTACAAATTTGTTGTTGTTATCATTGTCAGAAACAGATAATTCTTGATCTTCCCTATAAATATATTTTGATTTTTTAATTTAAAAAACACAATACTTTTCTGTTTTTAATTGAGTATAGAAAGAAGTGGAAGCCTCGTTATCATCGTCATCATCTTCAGAAAGAGCACAATCTACCTAAAAATTAGTAGAAAATAATATTGATTTATATTTAATCAGAAAATTAATTAAAATACACTCTCACAGCTTTACCTTGAGTTCACTTTAACATAAAACTATTACCTAATTTTGAAATTGACAAAGTTCACTTAAGTCATTTTTCTATGCTGTCTAACCATGCCAATCCAAATTTTAAGTGATTCTACAATTATTTAACATAAGCGCCATTATGAACGCAAGGTAAAGTATCCGGTCCCCAAACAATTCAAATTTATTTTTTACAAAAAACCCCTCAAATTGAAAAATCCTCTTAAATACTTTCAAAATAAAAAAATACCTCATTTTCCATTTCCTGCAATGCCTTTTTGTCAAGAGTATCCATTTGTGAAAAATGATCCATTTCTGTACTTGAACATAAAGTTTCACTTAAACGTGGCTTTTTTGAATGCAAAGAACCGCCAAAGTCTTTTAAAAAAAATTATTTATTTCAAAATTTTTTCAATAATTCCCAACCTGCACAATCCTCTTCACAAAATAAAAAATCCCTTTTATCAAGTTTCTGCCAACGTTCATAACAAGCTTCTAACCAACGAACACTGACTACAGGAATTCGTAAACGTTTTGCTTGACGAATTTTTCTAAGAAACAAAAGAAATTTCTAGAAAACAAAAGAAATGAGAATAGTTTTTTTAGGCCCGATAAAAAATTGTGAAAACCTAAATTTTTAAGTGGAAAATTCAATTTCGTTATCCAAAATTCTCCAACTCCATGGGAAGGTTAATGGGAATAATATATGCGAAGAAATTTCATAAAAAATTTTTTTCTCAATCCTTAAATAGATTCTAATCTCTTCAAAAAATTCAAAAAAAATTTACTCAGTTCCAGCTTTAGCAGCAACCAAAACGGTAGTTTCCCCTTTAACAATTTTTTCTCCAACTTTTGCTCCAAATTGTGTACAAAGTTGGTAAATTTCGCAAGAATTAATATCAATTCCAAGCGGGACTATTCCAGAAAAGACTATACGTTCACCTTTCAAAACTTGAGAACGAAGCCAGGAGACAATATGTTTGACGTTTGGAGTTTGTCCTTCACGATCATATTGCTCATAAAATATTGAATGGATCTTTAAAATTTATTATATTTTACATTATTTAATTTTTTAAAAATATTTTAACAGGATTCTTCGGAGCTTACAAAATGAAAAAAAATTCGCATGAGACGCTAAAAAATATACGTCCAAAAAATTTGCCATTGAACGCCAAAGTAAATGCCACACAGGCCCGTAGCCAGGGGGGGGGATTTTTTGGCCTACGGCCTTCTAAAATTCTCAACATTTCCGATTGCAGCGCTAAAAATCAAAATTTATTCCCCTTGAGGAGAAAAGTTACTCTTAGTCCAACGAAAAAAAATCTCGGTAAGGGCATGACGCCACTATACATTTCCTAGTTAAAAAAATTAACAAAAAATTCCCTAAACGATCTAAAATTATCGTTAAAATTTTAACACAAAATTTAGTATATTTAAAAAATTTCCAAACAAACCTCCTTCAATATACGTTCAATATATACCAAAGCATTATCATTATCAGATAAAGGAGTAACTGGCTTACTCAATTCATCAGGTAAATCAATTTTTAATTCAGATTTTTTGGGTTGTTCTTCATCACATTTTTTATTTTCCTCGGATTTTGGAATATCTAAATTAAAAAAAAATAATTTTATAAATTTTTTTGAAAAAAGTACATATGTATTTCAATTAATTTTTAAAATTACTTTAGAATTGTTAATTTGCAAAAGTAAAGTGAGATTGTTTAATTAAAGGTCCAATTAAAAATTAATTCAATTCTTAAACACCTTATTGAAAATCGAACTCTAAAATTCAAAGCTAGAAAATTGATGCAGACACCCTTGACTTACACAAAAAGACTCGGGAAAATTTTTTAATTTCTCATACCAATCCCCTAATAGATAACTTAGACCAACACAATTTAAAGCTTTAAACAAACCTTTTTGAATTAAACTTTCTTCTCCTTTCTCTTCTTTTTCCTTTTTCTCCATTTCCTTCTTTTCAACACTTTTTTCATTAATATTCTTTTCCTTTTCCTCAGAATCTTTATTTTCTTTTTCCAAAGGATAATTAATATCCCCAACATCCAAAAAGAAACGATAAGGTTTTAACTGAAAAATAAGAAAAAATTGATAAAAAAATAAATTAGAAAAGAAACTCGAATTAAAGCATCAGAATGCATCCAAACATCCGGTCTATCATCCAACATTAAAACTAATTGTTCACTACAAGGAAATAAAGCTTTTAAATTTCCAGCCTTGTGAATACTGAAAGAATAAAATAAAAATTTTTTTAAATTTACTAAAATGGAAATATGCTTAAAAATTAAAAAGCTTTAAGTAATCTTTAAAAAATTCCGAGAAAAAATTACAGATAGGATATAAATAAACAAAAATAATTCAATCAGAGTCAATAAAAACTAAAAATAATAATTTAATAACCTGCTCAATAATTCATCTCTAGATAAAACTCTATAATCAAAATAAACTTTATTTGGGTCAAGCAGTTCAGCAATTTTGTGCGCATACATACGTTGACCTGAATTAGCTTTTTAAAAATAATTAAAAAATTTTAAGATTCAAAATTTTTGCTAAATCATTAAAAAGTCTAAATTCTTCAAAAATATTTTAATTTTTAAAAATAAAAAACTAACCAAAAGTAACAATATGTAATTCATACAATTTATTAATATGTTCCAAAAAATGATGAGTATAAGGCCTTATTTTTGTAAAAAAAGTATTTCCAAAAAGTTGATAACCAAACAAATTCTAAATTTAATTTAAAAAAAATTTTACAAAAAAAATTCATTAAACTGTTGACGATGCTGCTTCACAAGGCTTTAAAGGCCTATTCGAAGTGTGAACCAATGTTTGGTCAAGATCTAACAATAAAATCAATTTGCGTTGGCGAAGAATGTTTTCATGGTCTCGGGCACCCAATTGACTTGCAACCTTAAACAGAAAAAATTTTCATTAAAAAGATTTTTAGACGAACCTCATTAGAAACTACAAGCTCGGGGACGTGATGTATCATAGAAATATTTGCCCCAACAGGCTCTGTCCGCTCCCCAGAATATCCTCCTTTGCTAAAAAAATAAATTTAAAAAATAATAGAAAAGTTGCAAAATTTTGAATAAAATATCTATGGATTTCGGAATAATTTCGAAATACTAAACAGACTCCGATTGGGACAAATTATATGTCATTCGACTCAGCTCGGCGAGCTGAGTCGAATGACATCAAAAAATCGATTGGGACATAACTATGGGCCGAGATACAGGGCTCGAAATGGTCAAAAACCATAGGGAGGACCAAGCAATTTTTTGGGGTGAAAAATTCGAATATGCAATTAATAGCTCATTTGAAAGAGCTCTTCAAGCTGAGTCGAATGACACCAAAATCGCCGTGATTAGTCAAGTTTGTTCGAAGTTATGACAGAAAAAACAAACAACGTTAACCTATGGGGCGTCGGCGAGGCGCTTGTGCAAAACCCCGCGCTTCGCGCGGGGTTTTGCGGCACGCGCCTCGCGGGGAGTCTACGGGCGCTGGGTCTGGGCTCGTAACTTAATCCTATTCCAATTATCGCTGTGATGGGCAGCCCGGCTTCCTCCGCAGCAGCAAGAACATCCACAGAGAACAAAGGTAAGGAGCTAAAACAAACGATCATAACTGTGTCAAATCAAGTCAGATTTCGCTGATTTTGGTGTCATTCGACTCAGCTTGAAGAGCTCTTTCAAATGAGCTATTAATTGCATATTCGAATTTTTCACCCCAAAAAAGTGCTTGGTCCCCCCTATGGTTTTTGACCATTTCGAGCCCTGTATCTCGGCCCATAGTTACGTCCCAATCGATTTTTTGATGTCATTCGACTCAGCTCGCCGAGCTGAGTCGAATGACATATAATTTGTCCCAATCGGTGTCTGTTTAGTATTCTGAAATTATACCATGGATTTCAAATAACAGGTACGTCCGCAAAAAATTTTTAAAAATAAACAAAATTTTAAAAATAAAATTTTTAAAAATAACAAAAATAAACAAAACTTTAATTTAACCTACATTCTTAAATCCTTCCCACAATTTCCACACATATCCTTTATAATAATTTCATGAGCACAATTTTCCTCTTTTCCAACAATTTCTTCATTTGTTTTTTCTAAATGTTCAGAAGTTGGATTATTTGGAGGTAATGGTCGTTGGCCTTTGGTAAAGAAAAAACGCTTTTTTGTGGCGGAATTTTGTTTTTGATTTTTTTCGTTATCCTCTTCGCTTTTAATTAAATTACTTGGATTCATTTCATCTGACATCTGTTAATTGTAAAAAAATAAAAAAATTGACTTAATTGCAACTTTAAAAAGCGAGACAAAAATAAGCTTAAATATAACAATTTTACTCTTAGATATTGTTGCAGAAACTGGAATAAACAAATTCTAAAAGTCGAAACCATCGAAACTCGAAATGAAAAAAAAACAAAAGTTTCACTTTGAACTGATAGACAGAAGGAAAAAGAGAGAGACTGCGAGAGAAACGAAAAATGACATTTGATCCCATTAAAAATATAGCCATTTTGAAGTAAAATATTGAGGGTAAAAAGACATTTTGGCATCGGAAAATTTTCAATATACGATACCTAAACATAGGATATTTTTCTTGATAACATATGAACTCTTATCAATACTTGACCATTTTTAATCTTTATGAGACGAGAAGGACGGAGAAGAAAAGAAACATTTGCGGATTTGTTGGGAGATACTCCCTAAGTACCAAATTATTATTATTTTTGTTTTCAAATTTCGTTTAGAAAAGCTCATGAATATCAATGAAAATTACAATAAATTTTTTCACGTCTTTAAATCAATCAACGATACATTTAATAGGTTTACAAGTAGGCTAGTTTTTAACAAATACAGAGATTTCTAACAAGAAAAACAAATACATATATACAAACAAATAAAACAAAAAAAAATATATCCAAAATATTTTTATTTTTTAATCGTTGATTCATCATCATCTTTATCAACAACCTTTTCCGGCGGTTCTTTATACGTCCACATCATTGTTTGGTTTGTTAAAGTTTGGTTATAAGTATAGTCTTCCGTTGACGGAGAATCTGTTTTTGTCAGAGTACTTGGAGGTTTGACAACTTTAATTTTTGCATCATCTTCGTTTGAATCTCTGAATGGAAGTTTATCTGGCCTCGAAACAGTTGTCATCTTTGATTTTTTGAATTTGATCAAGTTTGGATTTGCTTGCATTGGAGGAGGATTTGGTTGGATTGGAGGCGGATTAGGCTTCGAAACGTGAATTTTGGATGGATTTGACCTTCTGTGTTTATCCAAATTTGCTTTGGGTTTTTGTTTATTTTTCTTTTTAGATTTGATACAATACACACAGCAACATACTAGAAAGCAACTGAATATTGACACAAAGCTTAAAATTTATGAGTTAAAAAAGTAAATTTAATTATTTAGTGGATACTCTTTAAATTTAGATAGACAAAATTGTTGTAGAAAAAATTTAATCAAGCAATACTCCCCAATTTGAGTAGTTTCCTAATTGGAAATTAAATTGAGGAAAGACGTCCAAAATTCAAGGTACCTCTCATCAGGGCTGTGCGCCACAATTTTCGCGTGGCGCCAAAAATAAGCTAAAAATGGACGCCAAACGCCATGGTACACAGCCCTGCACCTCATTACAAACTACGATATTTTCAGACCCAAGGGGATATCCAAAATGATTTGACTAAATCTTCGGTGGTAACCAGTAACCCAAACACAATTGGTGGTTCCTTTTCACCAGCATTAACATTTTATAACACTATTGTCCACCTAAACTGAAAAAGTACCAAAAATTCACTAAACTCACAATATGAGGCAAAACCCAATAATAAATTTAATTAAATTTTCCTTAGTTTTAGATGTTTGTTTAGTCGTTAAAGTTGTTGAGGAATAATTTGTTGTTTTTGTAGTATTCCATCCAAAAGACGTTGTGACTATATTTGTTGTTGTTGTGGAAATGAATTTCTGGGTAGTTGAAGTATTTACTGTAGTTGTTGGAATATATGGGACAAGTACTTTGTAGTGGTCCTTTCCCTAAAATTTTTTTGTTAAGTTAATAATTGGCAGACAAATTAGGTAACTCACAAATTTCATAAACATCTTTGCACATTTTTGCATTTTATCATTTCCACTGCAGTCAATTGCGTAATCTTTTTTACAAAATACGTCCTCCATCTTATCACGCATTTTAGTTACTGGCAGAATGTGAAAAGTAAAAAGATATTTGAATTCTGTTTCTTTGTAGTAATTATTGTCAACAATTTTCCATCCTTTTGGTTCGCGCCTAGTGTCCTTAACAGAGCACATTGGGCGAAATTCATCTCTTTTATTCAATGTATAATCCTTTATGCTTCCGAATAATATTGAAGATGACGAACTTGAGTAAGATTCTGTGCTTTCTAGAAGTCTATCAAAAGGATCACCAACTAAAAAGAATAAAGGAGTTTAATAACTTTCTTATATATCTTACTTAAATGCAGCCTAGAACTCTTTGTATCCCACCCAACAGCGTAGTCATATACCTCCAAACATTTGACGTTTTTGCATAACAACTTATAACCTTCATTTAGAGATTCATAACAGTTTTTGCCATTATGTCCATCTTTTTTGAGCTTTTCAAATTCATCATTTTTCAGACTAAAGGTGAAAAACATCCTGAAAAACAATATTTTTGGATTGATAGTATATTTAGATGACTCACATATTGTCAAGAGAAAAATCAGTAAGGCATCTTAATAAATTGCTGTCCGAAATGGAAAATGTCAAGTTAAAAACACTATCATTCTTTGTGACCAAATCCAGCGAGCATCCATTATCCTTTAATTTCTCGTCATACCAAAGCAAGCTTTAAAGGAAGAAAGGTGTTTTTCAATAAAAATATCATTAAAGTTCCTTACATATTTCCATCCCCGTCCATAGTAACATTGCACGCCCCCTCCATTTTATTGTAAAGTTCAAGGTCTGTCTCGCTTTCAGCCATCTTTGTGTTGTTCCTCAAGGTTGTGATCTCCTCTCCATCCAGCTCATGCCTGCCATGCCCAACTAGATCGCAATTAACATCTCCAATCATTAGCAACACAACCGCCACAAAACACGAGAATGAAGAGATTGAAGGCATTTTAGAGGATTTTTGTAGAAATGCAAGGATGTAGTTATTTTATTAGAGTGGTTTTTATACTTTTAATTTCATGCAAATCTCGATTGTTTTCTATCACAGTACAATTTAGCAGACTAGGACATGGATACTGATTTTGGTATCCGTATTCGGATATTTACGGCGGAACAGACTGATATCCACAGGCATTTTTATAATATCTGTATCCGTATCCGGGCAATCCAGGAGAATTGGGGTTTCTTCGAATAAAAAGTTTAAAAATAAGAAAAAGGGTTTTTCTAGGGTAAAAAAATACGCTGATTACGAATCTGAACTCGGATTTTGAAAAAGTCGAATCCCGACCCCGAATTCGGAATTTGACTCCGGACATTGTCGGACATTGTACAAAATGGTCAGTCTTTCATATGCTGGTAGAACTCATCGAGATGCATCGAATGACACCAAAATCGATGAAATCCGACGTGGTTGGACCGAGATACAGACCCCGGAATATTGAAAAACAATAGGGGTGATTTTTTGGAGTAAAAAAAGTTTATACATATGATGCCCCATTCGAAAGAGCTCGTCGAGCTGAGTCGAATGACAGCAAAATTACAGTGATTCATCAAGTTTTGACAAAGTTGTGACATAAGTCGCCGGCTCCTACAGTACTCCCATAGGTATACTTTATGTAATAACTTTGTCGAAACAGGTCCGATCGCGTTGATTTTGGTGTCATTCGATGCAGCTCGACGAGCTCTTTCGAACGAGCTATCATTTGCTTATTCGAAATCCGGGTTCAGGGTTCGAAATTCGGTTCGGGTTCGGGATTCGACTTTTTCAAAATCCGAGTTCAGATTCGTAATCAGCGTATTTTTTTACCCTAGAAAAACCCTTTTTCTTATTTTTAAACTTCTTATTCGAAGAAACCCCAATTCTCCTGGATTGCCCGTATCCGTGTCCTAGTCTGCAATTTAGCAACAAAATTAACTACAGATCGGACAGAGACGAGATCTCGATCGAAACCTCGGTTATCGTGATCGAGAAATTTCGAGATCTCGATTCTCGTACGACACTCCCAGTCCAGTCTATAAAATTAACAATACATTTAGATAATTTGTTTAATAAATATTTATCTAACAAATTAAATATCTTTTGGATAGAATAAAAAGAAACAAATTTAATAATAATACAATTCAAATTTTTATTAATTCTCGTCAGTTCTGTTTCCATTTCTGCTCCTCCCAATCCCATTCTTAATTGAATTCGAATTATTTCTATTTTCAATTGAAGGAGTATATGCATGCCGGCTTGATCTTTAATTTTAAAATTAAAAATGGTTAGATTTAAATTTGGGGACAACATTCGAGTAGGAGCTCGGCTTGTGTTAATTCCAGTGAAATAATTAATTAACAGAAAAACTTTAAAGGATTTCATTGTAATTCGTTAATTTCAAAGACTTTTATGAGCTTTGCTAAAAGATCAGAAGTGGGCAACCTTACAGAAATTAAATAAGGGCTTTAGTAAATTCTGAAATATTAATTAGGAGCAAAAAATATATTAAAAATATCCTCAACAAACCTTCCAAAAGCAGAAGAAACACTGCTTCTTCTACTTCCTGGCCGACTACCTACACTCATTGAACGTTGTGTTTGTATTACTTCTTGTTGCTGATTTTCTCCTCCATTTTCCATTAATTTTTTTCTCAATGCTGGAACTACTGGAGATTGTTGCCTTCCACGAAAGGAAGAATGGCGATTGTTGTTACGGGCTGAATCCGTTATTCTCTCTGAATAAATGCTGCCCTTCCTTTCCCACCATTCTTCCTCTGTCTGTTAAATTTTATCATCAATTTATTAATTTTTTTATTAATCTTTGATAAAACCCTGGCCTTTAAGCCTACCTATATCCTTTAATAACTACCCTGGGTAATTATTGTTTCGACCTTCCGCTGGAGGGAGTAATTAATCGAGGGAGGGTAATTATGCGGGGTTTGAAATTTAAACGTGTTCTAGGGCATTTGTTTGGGGGTAATTATTGTTTCAATCCATCGCTGGATGGGGTAATTAATGAAAGTGGGGTAATTATTTGAAGGAGGGCAATTAATGGAGGTTATACGGTATTTTAATTTGAAATTTAAAAAATAATCTCAATAAATTCACCTCATTTTTATTTCTATCAATCTCTTCCCCAATATTTCTACTTTGATTACCAACGGGAATTTGACGACTTATTGGGCGACTACGATCACTGACTGATTCAACTGTTTCCGAGAAATTTGAGCCTAGAAAATTTTTTTTGTAAATAAATTCTTTTCAGAAAAACATCTCCCTACCTGACTGTTTCCGCCTTCTTTGAGCTCTAGCCTCAGCCAATCTTTGTGCTTCTTCACGTAGTGCTTGTTCTGTGGCTTTTTGAGCTGCTGCAAGTTTAGCAGCTTTACGTTCCAAAGCTAATGCTTTTTCCCTTTCCGCACGTTTTTCTGCTTCAATTTCTGCACGCTGACGTTCTCGCCAACGTTCATCTCTTCAAAAATAATTAAATTAATTATTTTTGTTTATCAAGAATCGTCAGATTTCAAATTAAGCAGGAACAGTTTAATTAAAATTTAATTCGGGCACACTTGCTGTCGTTCTTTTATTAAGTGTTCCATTGAAGAATTAGTGGATATTAGAAAGCCCTTCTTTATTCGTTCAGAACACTCCTTAGTTATTATAATACTCCTTACCAATGCCAAAAAACATTAGATGAATCCCATAAACTAAAACCTAATTTTATTCTCACGATCAGGATCTTTATTAAAAAAAAATTTTTTTTAATTAAATGTAAAACTTATATGTACCTAAGCCAAATCCCAAACAATTAAGGCTTCCACAAAAAAACAAATTTTAAAATTTATTCACAAAACCTAATTCTTTCCCTTTCTTCCATTTCCCATTCTTTTTGTTTTTCCAAAGCTCGTCTTCTTCTATTTTCCTCTATTTGATGTAACAATTCAAGTCTATGTCTTTCTGTTGCACTTATATTAGATAATGGAGCTATACTAGATGCTGAACGTTGAAAATTTTGTTCTACAATTCTTTCGGGTATTTGGGGTATTGGGGGAGGCCAACTGGCAGTTGAGGATGTTGCTGCAAATGAACGTTCGAAGGCACTTCCGTGCTAAGAAAAAATAAGTTTTTTTAAATTATTTATAATATTTTTTATCGGGTTGCGTAAACTCTCCTAACAATTTTTGCTATTCATGCAAGGGCAGGAATGGACGTTCTTTCTACATATTTCTAGGTAAAGCAACAAATTAGATTTTTAACTTTTTGGAGCTAAAATCTGAATAATTTTAATTCTTGCTTTTTCCTAGGGAAAATAAGAACATGGAGAGGGAAATTAGGAAAAAGATAAAATATAAATATAATCGGACCTGAATTTTACACTCACACAATGATTAATATACCTCATAGATGAATTTTTAAAATTTGTTTGGCTATTGTCTGGGGAGCGGATCTTATAAAAATATTTTTATCAAACTACTCCCAAAAATAAATACATTCGATTTTAAGGGTTTAATAAAAATGAGGTCCGACTGTGATGACATTCAAAAAATCCAGATTTCTCACTTAGAAATTCAAAACAAACTCTTTTAATCATTTCATTTCCTTCCATCCAAGTCCGAGAACCTCTCTGTCCACTTTTAGGTTGAGGACATCCCCTTGCCCATGGAAGAACATTATCATCCTCTCCTTCCTCCTCCCTTTGTACAGTATTATTTTGTTGTAAATTAGAATTTTGACGTTTAACAAAATTATTTTTCGGGGTTGATTGTAAATTTAGGATGATATTATGGCCATTATTTGATAATGACGGAGTAAAATTATTATTTAAAAATTCATCCATTTTATTTCCATTTTGTGTTGGAAAATTACTAGATTGTTCTATTTTATCATTAAAATTCTGATTTTGTTGGTTAAAATCAGAATTTATTCTTCCATTCCCGTTAATAACAGAAGACGTTGTTTTATGCTCTCCATTATTTTTATTATTCCCGTTTAATGCCAAAACTAGAGCTGCTGATGTTTGTTGATTCTTTTGTTGATTCTGATTAGAAGAGGGTATATCCAAAGGTTGAAAGAAACGTTGCCCGTTAATAAGAATTGATCTAATGCCAAATAATGTTGTTTGTTCTTCCTAAAAGTATCTTGATTTGTGAAAATATTTGGGGAAAAATTATTAATGGAAGCAGAAGAGATTTGGCTAGAAGGGAGCCTAGGCAATTTTGGATTTTATTCACTCAACCATTCCACTACTTCAAATATTTTTACTTTTGTTCGCCAAAAATATATTCTCAAACCTCAATAACTATTGGAGATTGTTGTTGTTTCTGCTGAAAAGGCACTTCCTCAAAGGAATTATTATTTCCATTCATTTGAGAATAATTTATTTTAAAAGAATTTTGATTATCTTGAAAAGGGATTTGTTGCTGTTGCTGTTCTTTTTTTATTCTCCGCGGAGTATGTCCAGCTGTTGTTTGAGCTGATTTTTTAAAAATTAAAAGTTGAACTTTGATAAAATTTTAGGTAAATTTAAAATTATATTCGAGAAAATACATAAGAGGCCAGTCCAGAGAAACGCTTCCAATTCCTAGATCCTCCTCCCTACCCCCCCCCCCCCCCCTCCAATTTTGATGGTTTCCATATGTAAATTTCCATATCTTCATTAAAAACCTTTTTCTGTCATTGAACGTAAAGTAGTCGTAGCAGATGACAGGGAGGGTAAGGGTGTTGTTCCTCTCCCATTCAAAATTATATTACTTTGAGTTGAAGGATTAAATGAATAAGTACGGACCATAAGAATATTTGAAATAAATATCTCGATGCGTATAAATTAAAAAAATAAATTCATACAAAAAATCCTAAATTCCGTGTAAAATAAAAAGCATAAAATTTTATTTATTTAATTTTAAGAGCTCTTTAAATCTTATTTATATTTTCCCCAAAATTATAGAAAAACAGTTAAAGAGAAGCCTTTCCAGTTTTTTGCTTTTGTTTGAGAGGGCTTTTTACCTGTCTATATAATAAACAATGGGCAAAGAGAGAATAAAGTAGATATGTTTCCATAACGACTTGAGTAAACGTTTTTTGTATTTTCTAAAAATTTCTTTGTTAAAAATTACCTAATAAAAGTAGTAAAAAATTTATATTTTGTCAGGTTTTTTGGAAAATCTTCGAATATACGGAGCTGATAACCGAAATGAAAATTCCTGGATAACCACACTTTTTCGGTTCCGTATATTTGGAACTGCCAACCCCACCTTGAATAGAAAGAATTTTATTTTTAATAATAGTACAAGTTCATTATCAAATAAAGATTATTATTTATAATAAAATATTCCAGGAAAGATAAGAAATATTAAATAAATTTTTTGGATGTTAAGGGTTGCTCGATAATCTTAAACGAAGAAAGTTTGAAAATCTAACTTTTGCCATAACCCGTAACATTCCCAATTACAAACTTTTGACAGTTTTGATTAATAGGAAAGTACAAAAGAAGATAGAAAAGTTCCGGACCGTAATTTTAATTTTATAGAAAGTTTTTTAATTTCCATATCGGCCCGCAAGTTTCGTCCTATCAGAAAAATAAATTTCATTGAAAATTCTCTCCTTTCATATTATTTTGCACATACTCCATTTTTGCAGTCCCCAAGACAACAATCATCATTATGATCGCAGTTATCATTATGTCCTTCACAAGAAGCACATTGACCACGCTTACATTTAAAACCAGAACAGCAATGCACATTTGAATTACATCCATGATAAGAGCAACCATTTGTAAATTCAAGTATTAAAAAAGTAGAGAAGACAAAAAGAAGGCAATAAATGTTAATTGAAGACATTATTTTGTGTATTTAATTTTTAAATTTATCTAAAAGTTAATTTATTGAAGGATTAGAGATTTGGAGAGATTGAAATGTAAAATGTTTTACTTTTGGTCAATTTTTTAAATTTAAGAACTGCAGGCGAAAATTTTGAGTATTTTGATAGGTTAGTTAAACGAATTACATAGAAGGACCGTATAACGTTTATGCCGTTTATCTAATGGTTTGACATTGATGATTACCTTTGACATTGAATTATCTTTACATAAAATGTACCTATATTTTTTAAAGTAAGAATTTAATTATTAATTAATTAAAATGATTTATTGCTTAACTCAACCTAACTGTATTTATATTGTCTAATCTGCACTTTTACTCTAAGAATTTCCAAATAAATATCAAACAATCCTTTGGTTCGAATTTTATTAGTTTTGAGTTTTCACCTTCAATTTTTGCTTTTAAAATCTAAAAGTTTATTTTGTTTATTGATATAAAAAATTAAATTTTGATTTTTTATAAAAATATTCTTAGCTTCTATGTATGTATTTTGAACTAAAATTTATTTTTTTCTTTTATTTTCTATTTTTGTAAATAAATGAGAATTTTTGCTAAAATTTAAATTTTATTTTGAACTAAAATTTATTTTATTTGTTTATTCACCTTGAAAACAGAATTTGGTTTAGAAAAGCTTATGACTTATCATATTAATGAAAAATAAAATAAAATTTATTTATTGCGTATTGTCTTTAAAAGAATTCAGACTAAATTAAAAATTTTTTTGATGGAAAAATAAAAATAAATGCATAATATATAAAATAATATTTTTCTTTTTATTTGAATATAAAGAAATTTTGATTATTACTTACCTAAAGTTCTATGATAATATAATTTTTGGGACGGGAGTTCTGCAGAGCTCCTATAAATGTTTAGACGACTTTTGCGGACATGCACTTGCGGATCGAAATTTTCGGCAATCGGGACTCCCGACCCAAAAAACGTTGGGAATTCCCGGTTTTCGGAAATTTTGATATTTGTGTTAGTGTTGGACATTGAGGCTAATTTTTTAAATTTTTCTTGAAATTATTAATTAATTCTAAATATCCAAGTAGAGTCAGTGCAATTAAAAGATAAATGTACCGACGGATTAGAAATGATTACATAAGAGGGGAATTGGAGGATCAATAAGGATACCGTTGGATACTGAGGAATTTGCAAGAATTAAGAAGGGTTAAGAAGATTTCACTCATTCATCACCCATTGTTTTAACCTTTTTGTCCCTAAATAGAACAATTTTGTCTCCGGCTTAAATTATAATTGACCATCACAACATTTGTTGTTTCCACTACATTTACATAGAACCAGATTTAAAACAAGCATTGTTTAATTGGAATAAAATAAAAATTGAAAAAAAAAATAAATTTTAATTGAAGAAGAAAGTTGTTTCATTTTTCATAAAATTATTAATTTTAACATTATTTTTTGAAAAATATTTTTTAAATTAAATTTTAAATTCAGTTAATAATAATTTATCTTTTGTTTTGAATTTAGAAACAAAATGAAATATTACCAAAAATTTTTCTTCCAATTTTTGTCAGTCTTTTTTTTTCAAAAAATAAAATCTTATTTAAAAATAATTATTCAAACTTCACTACAGGCTATTTCTATGACTACTCTTCCAGACTTTTTTATTATTAAATTAACAAAATTATAGTTATAGTATTTCAAAAAATAATACAAAAACAACAACAATAATTTAAATATAATCCTTTCTTCATTTATTTATTCATAACTTTATTTATTGTACTAGGCCTAGGCGATTTATACGTAAATACTTCCCCAGTTTTAGTCATTGTTTGGCTAGAAGTTTTTCCTGTTGATTGGCCTTTTGTTGAAGAAGAGGGCTTTGTGTTTGAAGAAGAACCGGAGATATTTGTTGTTGTTTTTGGGATTTTTGTTTCTTCAGAGCCGATATTTGTTGTTTCACTCTTTCTTGCCCATTTATCAATTTTTGTTTCAGAAAAAGTTTTTCCAATTTCTCCTTTTTTTTCTTTTTTATTTCGATTAAATACTAGCCAATAAATAATTAAAGCAGCACTAAAAGTTAAAAAAATATTTTTAAAAATTTAGAAATTTTAATAGTGAATCCTCGTTTTTAGATATTCCCCTTTGGATAGAAAAATTTTACATTATAATGAGGGGTACCTATCAGGGATCGCAGCGACAAACTTCGCGATTCCCGAGAATAGGGAATTTATTTTTTATGTCAGTCGTTCCCTTATACCTATAATAATTATGGACATCCCTTACAAAGCTCTCTCATCTGTGTCTGGACCAAGGCCTTGGGTTTTTCTTGTACTCAAAGTCCAGGCATTTTTTGGTCTTCCTGGGTTTTTCCTGGACTACAGTTTTAGGATCCAGTCCAGGCCAATAAATTAAACCCAAAGTTAAAAACAACCAAAATTAAAAAATGTATCTCAAATAGAAGTCTAATTTTTGGGTGAATCTAAAAATGAGGTTTGACTTTCTAAAAGTTATTTACATTATTATAATAATTAGAATAATTCCAATAATAAAAAATATATTTGTTGCTCCCTCAGATTTACTAATATTTGTTCCTTCTGTTTTTAAAGTTTTGCTTGTATTTAATAAATTAGTTGAAGTCGTCTTTCCATTAACAACACTTGCAGTAGTTTTAGAAATTTCACATTGAACTTTGGGATTTAAATTTTGAGACAAAGATTCTTTACTATATGGAGTGAGCATTTTAACATGATTTTTGTCCTAAAAAAGGATAAAATTTTTAAAAATACACCCAACAATTATTAATTTTATCCTTCATATCTTTAAAATTTTTGGCAGGCTAATGTAAGGATGATTCACCTAGAGCATTTAAAAACGCTTAGGCGGGAGTTAAATAATCTAAAAGGATAAAAGAGAAAACATTAGTTGATGCCCCGATAGCTCCTGTATGTATAGAGTGAAAGCGCCTAGCAATAACTACGAGGAGGTCGCAGGTTCGAATCCTGCTCGGTGGCTAAACTTTTGCTAAACATTATTTAATAGAGGGGAGAGTTATGCAACTATGTCTCCTATTTAGGATACACCTCATTATGAGATACAATTTTAAGCTCCAAAGTCGGCCCTTTATAGTGAAGTATTTGATATCCAAATTTTAAACAAGCAAACTCACCAATCTAATAAAAATATCACATTTTGCTTCATTCAACCTCCCTTTCATAATACGCTTAACAAATATATTGCGTTTTGGAGCTGCTGATAGAGGAAGCAAATGGAAAGTAAATAAATATTTAAATAGTCCTCCTTTATAATTTTCATCCACAATTTCCCATTCTTCAGGTTTTCGAATAAATTCTTTTTTAAAACAATCAAAGTCCATATTTCCCTCACAATTTTTGCTTAATAAATCAAAACCGCCATAACTAATTTTTATTTCAAAAGAAGATTTTGGCAGGTTATCTTTGTCGTCGTGTAAACAAGACCAATATCGAGGCTCTCCAACTAAATTTCAATAAAAATTATTAAAAAAAAGAGTTAAAGGAGAAAACTTTTAAAGACATTTTCTAATGTTTTTAATACCTACAGAGGTGTGTCGGAATTCCGATTTTCAACGTTTCTTTCCTTCCGATTTCGGAAATTTTGGAAAAATTTCCGATTTCCGACATTTCCGATTTCCGGCACCTTCGTCATTTCCGACCCACTTCTGCTATATACTGAAACCCATATACTAAAACCTTCTATACTAAAGCCCTTGTACTGATATAAGTACCCTAAAATAAGGGGTGCCAAATTTTAATTGCCCTCTCATTCAATGAATATCCGATCCCTATGGATTTACTTATTTTAGTCTTATCTTATAAATTTTGTGTGAGATGAGTTTACCAAGTGAACGACTAATTACTTACTTGGCTGAACTGCGTAAAAAACTTGATTAGATTTACTTGCCCATCCAATTGAATAATCTGCTTGTTTTAAACACTTTCCCCCACTATTTTCACAAACTTTGCTTCCTTTTGATCCACAATTCTTTCCATATTGAGGATTGGATTTTAATTTTTCAAATTCGGCATCTTTTAAACTGAATGAGAAAGGAATTCTTAAAAAATAAAAATTTTCAAAAATATTTTTTAATTTCATTCTCACGTATTCGAATTTGTAGCATCGTGATTTCTTGTCCCTCCTTCGCCTTCCATATTCCCAGTTTTAACCAAACATTTAGATAAACCATCAGATTTGCTGATGCCAAATTGGAAAGGAATTGAGCCTTCATTTTTGGTGACTAGATCGATAGAACATCCAAATTTCTTTACAATGTCCTTCCTGTACCAGATAATTCTGTAAGTGGAGGAAATTAAAATTTTATTAGAAAAATGATAGAAAATAGAGATCTAATCGAGATGAGAAAAGAATCAAGTCAGGTCTCTCTAATCCAAAACAAAACTCACATATCCCCATTCTCAGCAATCTCAACATCACAAGCATCATTACCTCCTCTATATCTATCCAAGTCCACTTCTTTTGTAGCTATAAACATGTTGCCATTTAATTGAACAATTTTGTCATTGCACAGAAAATGTTTGCCATACCCAACAATATTGCCTGACCAATCCGAAGCAGAGAGAAGAAGCATTGTTGATGTGGAAAGCAATAGGGACGTGATAAGGAGATTTATCAAGGAATACATGATGGACATCGAAAATGTTTTGTTGAAGATTATTAAGCTTTTATATTAATTAATTTTTGTTCTTATTATCATTCATTCACGTTATATCCCGTTGTTTTATTCAACAAAATTTTTAAATCGAATACATTTTTAAAGAAAAAAAGTTTAAAGGAAAGAAATTTAACAGCCAAATCAAGAAAGGAAAGATTAAAAACGTTTTTCGTTTGGAAAATACTATAGTAGTAGCATCCTCAGTTCACAAACTTCCTTCTTTCTTATTTAATTACTCACATCTGTAATCGTGCCCAACTTCTCCTGGCGCCGTACATTTCGTACCTGGACAGCATCTTTTATCACTATCACCGTTACAACCACCTCCACCATTAATACAACATGTTCCAGAGCAAGTTCCAGCACAACAATTACCCTTTCCTCTTCCACTACATTTAGCACCATATCCTTTACAATCACCATTGTTTAATTCGAATAATATAAAAATTGAAAGAAAAAATAAACAAATTTTGGTTGAAGAAGAAAACATTTTTTTTTGAAATTTTTAATGAAAATTCTTAAATTATTAATTAATTTTAAATTTAAATATTTATTATAGAAAAAATATTTTTTAAAATTAATTTACATATGTAGCTCTAATATTTGTTTTAAAAGGAAAAAAGCTCAATCTCTATTTTTAGTGCTTTTCATCTGAAACACCCTGTATTTTTTTGAATTAATACGGCTTAAAAGCAACCCTTTTTAGAGCCTATAATTATTAATAATTAGGGGTAAAGGTGGAGATAATGGATTTAAAATGGAGGGCCAATTACCTTTGGGTATGTAAATTCGAGGTATGAAGGTAATAAATGCTTTAAAAAATATTTTAAAATAAAAATTTAATTAATTAATTAAAATGATTTATTGCTTAACTCACCCCAACTGTATTTATATTGTCTAATCTGCACTTTTCTTTTAAGAATTTCCAAATAAACATCAAAGAATCCTTTGCTTCAAATCTTATCCAAAATATTTAAACAACTGGTTACTTCAAAGGCAAAAGAAAAGTTTAAAGCATTTATTTTCTATTTTTGTTTTTAAAAAAAAATTTTAGCAACTCTCTAAAAATTTATTTTTGTATATATTCATATAAAAAGATCAAATTTGGATTTTTTATAAAAATATTTTTTTATTTCTATTTTATGCTTTGCCTCTTTTATTTTCTATTTTTGTAAATAAATGGCAATTTTTGCTAAAATTTAAGTTTTATTTTTTGCTAAAATTTATTATTTTTGTTTATTCACATTAAAAACAAAATTCAATTTAGAAAAGCTTCTGATTATCATATGAATGAAAAATGAAAAATGAAAATAATTTATTTATTGACTATTATGAAATCTAACTATCTTTTCTGAAAAAAAGGTAAAAAACGTTTTTATATTTTAGTATCCATAAAGAAATATTTTCCTCTGCTTTGAGTACTGATTCGAGAACTGCTAAATTTTGTAATATCTTAAAATTTGCTACAATTATTTTCAGAAAAAAATCTAATAAAAGATACCTATATACCGTTTATCTTCCGAAGTGTTCTTAAATTTTATGGGGCTATTAAGCGTTTTTTGTTGACACAAAATGTAAAACTTGATCTTATCAAAATATTTTTTGGGAAAAACATTTCTGACTTTCTGTAGCAAATTTTAAGGGCTTTCGAATGAGCATATGTCAAGAATTTTAAACAACCCCTAAGGGGTATAAAATATTTTTTGAAGTCTTTGATTAAAGCATCTTTGATTAAAAACCTCAATCAATTCGTCAAATTATTTTAATTAAAATTTATTTATTTTTTTTTTATTTTCTCCAAACATTTTGAAATATTTAATTAAAATTATTTATGTAAAGTAGTAAATGAGATATGCATAAAAAATATTTTCATATCTTTTAAATTATATAATTGATAGCTATTGGATCCATACATTATTTTATATTCAAAACTAACAATATAAAGCTCTCTCTCTCATTTGATGAGTAAATGGATTTTTAAATTCTATACACAATTTCCCTAAAAAATCATTAAAATTGTCTTGAATATAAGATAGAGAACTTTAAGCAAAACTTAGGAATAGGGTTGGGGGCCCGATCCGGCCCGGCCCGAAAGATCGAGTCGGGCATTGAATTTTGGCACGAAAAAGACTTGGCCGGGCCGGCACGATAAAAATGAGGCCCGAAAAAATGACTCGAACGTCGGCCCGACCCGAAAACCCCAACCCTACTTAGGTATTCTAATTAGTTAATCCAAATCCACTTCCAGCATGTGCAAAAAGATTGGGTGGAAACATACAAGTACTTGCATCGACAGGGGTTACTGTATTGAGTAATTTACTGAAATTATTTGCAAAAATTTTAGACAGTAAGGATTTTTATAAAAAATAAAAATACCTAAATCCATTAATTACGCCCTTCTGTTCAAGCATTTGCATGACCGCTGTCTCGTAACGCTAAAATTAAAAAAATTTTTTGGATCCGGCTTAATAGTCTCAACGGATATATCTCACCCTCAAACCTCAAAATCTCAACGGATATAAGTCAAATCGGTTATACCCTTAACTATCGGGCATCCCGTTTTGCGTTTCGCGGCCGTCTTGTGAAACTCTTGCGTTTTGCGGCAAAAAATAGCATTGAAAATGACGAGACGCGATTTTGTCTCTAATCCTTTTGAATACCATTTCGTGCCGCAAAAAGCAAGACGCTTTTTATGTAAGCGCAGCATTAGGGTTAACGATTCTTATCGAAAAAACAAAAAAAAACTTGCTTGTTTATATTCAACAGGTTCCCTTGCAAACACATAAAGTGGATAATTACAATTACTCGAAAGAACAACAAATTCATATTGCCCCTTTGCATTTAAAGGTCCAACAAAAATTACATGAACTACAAAATTATTTTTTAAAAATCATTTTCAAAAATCCACTAACTGTCTACATCCTCTTGGTGGGCAGTTGTTCTAAAAATTAATTCCCCTTGTTGTTTAAGTATGCCATATCCAGAATTAATTTTTGGTTTACTATAAGGGGTACCATCAGTTGAATACTTTAAATATTAAATTTAGATAAAATTTTGGAAGGAAGTACCTCAAAAACTTCGAAAATTGACCCAATCCCGCCTCCATTAACATCGGATATTTTTCGATACGAAACAACAGAGCAACCACTTTGAGCTACTAAGGGGCTGTACACAACCTATTCTATGGGAAATGGATATTAAATGAAGAACTTTAGTCAAGTAAGTTTTTAGTTAGCTAAAGTATTTTCTTCAAAATTCAAAATGTGATTGTTTTTCGATACTGTAAATGGGGACTATTTTAGTGAAGATAGGTAATTTAGATAGGTGAATCTAATTACCGTATAACCTGTATTAATCGCCCTCCCTCAAATAATTACCCCACTTGCATTAATTACCCCATCCAGCGATAGATCGAAACAATAATTACCACATATCAAATGTACTAAAACAAGTTCAAATTTCAAACTCGTATAATTACCCTCCCTCGATTAATTACTCCCCTCAGGGAAGGTCGGAACAATAATTACCCAGGGTAGTTAGTAAAGGATATACGCTATCATTCATTTTATTAAGAATACAGCCAAGTCAACAACATTTAAAACACATAAGCTAATTTAGAACGACTTGGAAAATCCTGAATTCAGGTCAAAAATGTGTCTAGACATGAGACTAATTAAGTTTGAGTTAAATTATCCAAATAATGGACTAGATTTATTTTAAATTTATTCTTGACTAAATTTATTTCTAGGCAATTAATCCACCTGATACCACTGCCCCATTAATGCGTCCAACAGAAAATCTTGAACAACAACTGGTTTTGGAGAACATAGAGGGCTGCTTGGCTGCACAATTAAATTTTGAATCATTTCTAAATTTTCACCAATAGCTTCTTGCTGTGCTTGTGTTAAAGTTAAGGGTGTAGAAGTATTAAGTTCAGGAGAGGAGAAAAGAGCTGCAGCTGCAGCCGCTAATGGACTGTTTGCTGGTAGCATGGAGGAAAGGCTTGAAAGAGCAGCTGAGGCATTAGCAGGAGTTGAATCGTTGTTTGTTGGGGATTGGACAGAACCAGAAGTTAGGGCTTTGTATAAAACCTAAATAAAATAGGCAAGTTAAAAATATATCGTGAATCTTTCCTTTCTCACATTGCTTATCACTTGTTTTCCAGGCAAAGGAGAGTTGCTTCCACCAAGTAAAGATCCTACAGCTCTTCCAATACCACTCGCATCTGTCTGAGGCCGTCCATCTTTATTTAGTCCAAACAAATCCATTATTGTGCCGATAAGCCCTCCAGGCGCAGGCTCATCAATAGAATCGGCAGAAGAGTCACCATATGAATCTCCTGAAGCACTCGATGTGAGGAAAGAAGAACGAGGTTCTGAAGCAGAAACAGAGTTTGGACGAATTGGGTCTAATGAAGCAGCTAATCCAAGTCCTCCATCAGGGATCTTAAATTATAAGATTATCTCATTTATTTTAAGAATTTCACTTCAGGCTTCGAAGCAAATCTGGGCAAGTCATTTAATGGCTGTCTCAATGTTTGAGGCTGTTGCCTTCTGATTTCTGCTGGAAGGGCGCTCATAGGGAACTTTGGCAATTTTGGAAAATCATTTGGAATTCCAGCAATTGAAGATGGAGAAGTTTGAGGTAATGGAAGTGAAGAAGAATCCGAATCTGTTGAGTGTTTTGCTGAGTCATCATCGGATGATTTTTGAGGTGATTGACGAGGGTGATCGTCAACGTGCTAAAAAATTAAATTATATAATGGATTTTTCATTTGTCCAATCAATGGTTATGGAGTTTATTAATTTTTTGGCAAATTAATAAAGTAGTGAAAATATTTTAAATGAGGGTAGATTTTAATACTTATGTTCCAAAATTAAAAAAAATTTAATCTTACTACAGGATTCGAATTCTCTTGAAAAGCAAGGTTGTTTTTATTAGCTCCACCATTAAAAGAAAATCCCTGGTTGAAGCCAGAAGGCAACTGGATATCGTTACCATTTGGTTGCCCTCCTGATAAAAACTGTTCTACAGCTTTGCCAATTTGTTGTAATTGGTCGGGTGTTTCTGTTGGTGTTGCTGGTGGAGGGCGTGGGTTGGAAATCTTTATATTAATATTAAAATAATATCTGATAAAACAGATTAATATAAACTCCCTTTTTTCTATGGCCAAAGATAAATGAGGAATAGAAAGGACGTGGGGGAACTTTATTTGTTATTTTTAATGTTTAAGAGATCTAGTTAACATTCTCTTATGATCAGTTAAGTTTTTTAAAGATGCTCTATCTCTTCCCAATCTTCCATATACAAATCAACCGTGAATCTTTATAGACGACTTGAAATTTATTATAATAATATATATAATTAATATCTCATAAATATTAATAAAATCTATCGTTTCGTAAAAATATAGTTGTTTAAACCTCTCAGAGTTTTTCTAGTTAAAATATCGAAATACCTCATATGTTTTTTCAGGAAAATACCCTCCCGGTCTAGGCGCAATCAACGTATCTACCAATTCCCTAGCATGCCCATCTAATTCAAAATATTTTGCCAAATCTGGAGCTATTGTTGGTTTTGGGGCAAAATTTTGACTGTTAAATAATTCGTGTTGGGCTTTAATTTGTTTTATAAAAATATTCATAGAAATAATAAATGGAATAATTATTCTAAGAGAAATTATTCTCTGTTCTCTTCTTGATGTCCTCCAATTTGTAGCTGTTTGTTTATTAATTAATAATGACATTTGTCTAAATAAATGGGATTTAATGGATAAAACAGACTTGGTGGACAAGGGTTTTGGTTTCCGTATCCGGATATTTACGGCGGATACAGGCGGATATCCGCAGGCATTTTGAAATTATCTCTGTTATTAAATATTGGTTAAAATAAAGAAATTTTTTAGATTGTATACACCTGTTCAAATTACAAATTATATAAACAACGGAAATTTTAATAAAAAGGACAACAATGATTTTCGATCTTAATTTATTTAATTTTTTTGAGTTTTAAATGGGACTACGAATTTGTACCAAAATTAAGTGTATCTGGTATCGAGAGTTTCACTCAAAATCGTTTAAAAATAAGCTCAAAATCGTATATTGTGCATATACTATATGAGGGAATATTTTGGTTAGTAAAGTTGGAAAAATTTAATTAAGATTTAGTTATACCCAAATAATAAATTAATGTTGACTATAATAAAAAGCTATAATTAATATAAATTTAAATTGGAAACCGGTAAATATTTATGTATTTAATTTTAATTTTCAAGCCATAGTTTTAAATTGATTAAATTCTAAAATAAATTGTTTTTAAATATTTAAAAATAAAGTGAAAATCGAATTTTCTCAATTTATTTTCTCTAATATATCCTTAAAGCATTGAACAGGCGAAAAACTATATTGCTGACGAGAATGCGGGAATAGGATATGGATGGAATTGAATTGGTGGATAAAAAAGAGGACAAGTAATCCACACAAATATATAAATAGCCGTTGGCGATTGACTAAAAATAAATTTTTGAGAGGAAATACAAAAATAAAAATGAAAACGGAAAAGTGAGAGGAGGATAAAATAAAAAAGAGGAGGAAAGAGAAACGCCGTTTTTGGATTTTTGTGTAAATAGGGAATATTTTTCTAATAAATTTACAATAATATTAAAAAAAATGTTTGCTGATCATTTCTACATATCTATTTGTTCCAAAAAATTTTTTCAAAAAAAATAAAATAACCGGATTGAAAGGAGGAATTTTTTGTGAGAGTGATCGCTTTTACTACATATTTTAAGACTAAAATTTAAAAAAATCAAACATAACTTGATTTTTAACTAAGTTTATTCTTTTTAAAATAGACGAATCTCGATATAAAGAAATTAAAGGAACTAAAGAACAAAGTTATTATAGAGTTTTCAGTACTTCGCCTTTGCCAATTTTGCCCTTTTTGTGTTATTTTATTGCAGCTCTAATAATCTCTAAATTGTTTATCTTTCGTACATGTTGTAAAAAAAGTTCAGATATTTTTATTTACCGTATTCCCCACCCTCGAATAATTCCCCATGCCACGGATGGGTTGAAAAAATAATTCCCCAGGGGAATTAATCGAGTAAATACGGTATTTATATTTTTTCTGTAAGTCCGGACACCGAGTTTAAAAAATAAATTAGGCATATGAAAAAAAGTTTAAAAAATTCAGAAACAAATAGAAATTATTTTTAATTTTTAAAGGCGAAGAAGATTTAAATTCTTTGAAAAAGCTAAAGATTAAAAATTTTTTTTTGTCTTTCTCACCTTTTCTTTTAAAAATTATTTAATATTTCTAAATATCTATCGGCATAAATCATTTAACAAGCTTACATACAATCGAGAATAAGAAACAAAAATCTTTTGTTTTGTGGAAAAAGCTTCGCACATCTTCTCCTCATTTTCACCAAGAAGAGTGTTTGACCTAATTTTTAAAATTTTCTTTTTTCTTCTATAAAATTATTTTATAAATATTCG